TATCAACTTCCATTCCAACTCAGAGCCTGATCCAAAGCCTATTGAAGTTGATGAAAATGTTGTTACAGCTGAGGTGGTGTAAGGACCTAAACAAGCTGTTCTGAAATTAAATATACTACCTCTTTTTACAACCTTTTTCTTGATTCTTCTGCTAATTTTGACAGCACCCAGCTCTTGGGAGAACTTCCATTGAGCAAATGTTGATTTTTAGATCTAACTTTCTAAATGGGGTTATTCTACTGAATGTTCAAAATGTGTTCTGCCTGTAACTAAGAAAAATATGACATTGTCAGAAGAAGGAGCACAAAAAGTGGTGTGTGTATTTATAGACAATAACATTTAAGTAGGGCAGCAGAACATTCATTTAACTTATGATTTGTATACAAATAAAAGATGTAATTGATTTAATTTATATCATCATGGATCCTTAGTAAATGTGATCTGAAAGGATCTGGTCTGAAGCTCAGTGTGATCTTACTCCCTTTAAAGAGAGTAACAGTAATCAACGTCTTATAGCCTTTGGGGGTTGAGGTACTGTCTGTCTGCTAAAGACTGGCATTTTTCAAGCATTTATTGACACTGTTGTTCCCATTGAAATAAATGGGATTGTTCATGGGATGGAAGTCACGATTTCTTTTACCTGTAAGAGTTTTCACAAAGACGTGAGGATATAATTTATTGATCCATTTTAAAAATGTCAGTGCCCCGCAAGCCTCACGACATGGGCTGTCCAAATATAGTGGAAAGGGAAAGAACGAAATGGAAAAGTAATCCCTTTTTGCTATTTCTATGAGACTGATATAAAATGACACTGCAAGAGGTTGTAGGGTTACTCACTGAAGATGCAGTCAAGATAGATGATCTTCAGATCGCTTATTAGTGTATTTGTATGTCATCTTTCAGAGTGGGTGAACTCAGTACGTATGAATTAAAGTATGTTACTTAGGTATGTCCTGATCAATAGTCATGTTCTCAGAAACTTTGATTCCAGAGTGGAGATATTCAAGAAAGATGAAATAATTTTTGTCCGTAGGATGCTGTATCATACAAATGCCACTTCCTTTCTTCAGCCAAACCAATTTCGAGTACAGTCTTTCTCTGCAACAAAATTAAAACATAAAGGTTGTGTTCTTACTCTTATATTAGCTCCATGCACAGACTCTCTGCTCATCCGCTGCTAACATACGGGCTTGAGGCTGGGCCCAACCAGCTGTTTCACTGGGTGGGGTAAATCAGGGGTAGGGGTGGACTGACTCTCCTTTGAGCTCTGATCTTTCCAAGGGCAAGCACAGGGTTCCAGCATTGTGATTCTATGCTTCCATGTGCCTTTTGGGTGCAGTGTCTTAGGTTGACCATGGTGCTTTTACTTCTCAGGTTATATGTTGTAACATCTGCTTGGTACTTTCGTGCTTTAAAACCAGCAGTAATAAGAACACTAGCCCCATTATATGCTCTAGAACTGCAAAAAAAAGAGCCCCCAGTAGTCTAACAGCAGTGGGATTGCAAACAGATTTGTATAATTACACAAAGTATACAAGCTATAAATATTATGTTTATTCTAAAGAAGAAATACGAAATGCAGTCACCAGACAAAATGTTTATTTTCTCTCTGTTCACATGTGTTTCTTCATCCTTTTGTGACCTCAATGTGGTAATATCTAAATAGTTTGTTCTACAGCATAAGACATGCTGTGTGAAGAGGCAGGAACAGGAGCATTCACACCATGCCAGAATCTTTACTGGTTGATCATCTCTTGCTACTTATGATTAAGCAATAAAGAGAGAGGTACAGGGTATTTCCTGGGGATTAATAACTGATAGGGAGGAGTTAATGGCCTGAGGTGCAGCTGAGGGCCATTAACCCCAGCTGGTCATCAATCCTCATTAAAAACCTCTGCAAGTCAGTTCACCAAACACAGTGAAGGGCAAACCACTGTTTTAAGCACCTTTGTGATTCCCCTCTCTGTTGTCTCCTTAATTTAGTTCTATTTTAATTTCTGTTACTTCCTGGGATGGATTCTGCTTTTCTTACTGCAGCAGAAGTTCTATTCAGTTTATTGAATTATTATCTGACCAGTAGTTGTCCAAAAACTGTTGAGTTCAGACCTTTATGCACAAATGGGAGTCTTTGGTACTACAGCAGCAGAATAACAGGCATTTTAGATACTCCAGCATTTAATTACATGACAAAGAAGGTAAGTAAGAAATTTCATAAAATACTGGTTTGCAAAACCTGAGTTTGTTTTTTAAGAATGTAGCACAACCTTTTCTGTTGCAATAAAGAACTTTTAAGGGAAGGGCCCCTGGTTCTTCCAGCTTTGAAGCTGTTAAGCTTGCTTTTATTGTGTTTCTAAAAATTATTCCTTTACGCTTGGTGGTATTGGATACATAAAACATATCCTAATTCTGCAATCCATAGACTTGAAAAGCCAAGTATTGCAAATATTTGTTTGATATTAGCTGATAAGCATTGGAATATGCATCTTCTATAACTGATTTGGGGTGTACTTAGGTTTTGAAATGTGTATGATTTTGTGTTATGCTAGATGTATCTAGAAAGTTAATCTTGCGAGGGAGACACTATAATTGTCAGCGTGGTATTTAGCATATAGTAATTGTGTAGATCATAGAATCATTAAGGTTGGAAAAGACCTCTTAAGATCAAGTCCAACTGTTAACCCAACACCACCATGCCCACTAAACCATGTCCCTAAGCGCCTCATCTACACGTCTTTTAAATACTTCCAGGGATGGTGACTCAACCACTTCCCTGGGCAGCCTGGTCCAATGTTTAACCACTCTTTCAGTAAAGACATTTTTCCTCATGTCCAATCTAAACCTCCCCTGGCGCAACTTGAGGCCATTTCCTCTCAGTCCTTTTGCCAGTTACTTGGGAGAAGAGACCAACACCCACCTCACTACAGCCTCCTTTCAGGTAGTTGTAGAGAGCAATGAGGTCTCCCCTCAGCCTCCTTTTCTCCAGGCTAAACAACCCCAGTTCCCTCAGCTGCTCCTCATCAGACTTGTGCTCCAGACCCTTCACCAGCTTCGTTGCCCTTCTCTGGACACGCTCCAGCACCTCGATGTCCTTCTTGTAGTGAGGGGCCCAAAACTGAACACAGTATTCGAGGTGCGGCCTCACCAGTGCCGAGTACAGGGGCACGATCACTTCCCTACTCCTGCTGGCCACACTATTTCTGATACAGGCCAGGATGCTGTTGGTCTTCTTGGCCGCCTGGGCACAGATATTCCATTACTCTTGGTTATTCCAAATTCAGATTATGGTAGTAAAACATGAAGCTATGACAATATTTCTGAAAGAATTTTGGAAACCGATAAAATCCCAAAGTGTCTTTTCCAGGCCCTAGCCCTGCATCTGGTGGTAGCAATACAATACCCAGTAATATCAGAGAGCTCAGCTGGCTGAACTCAAGGATAACTGATTGTGTTCATTGCAAACGTCTATCTGAAAATCAGCAGAAAGGTCTCTGCAGCCCTTACAGCTTTGTAGAGATGTGATTGTCAAATGTGATTGTCAGAGTTCTGGGCACAGGAGGCAGATAATAGAATAAAAGGGTGTAATCTGGCAGCAACACAGTAAAATCAATGAAGATTTTTTTCTTTGATTCTAGTGAGAGCAGAATTAGTGTTTAGGTCTTCATTTAAAAATGTATGGTTTTGCCCTGTACTCACTGATGAACTCTGGACCCTGTGCATGGGCTAATAAAATCAGAAACCCTCCTGTTCTGGGGATACACAAATACCTGAGAGAAGAGCACAGGGCACTCCAGCTTAAGAAATGCTGTTTGTGTTAAACCCTTTCCTGATGCTGTAGAAAACAAAAAGAGCCGCCTTTGCAGAGGAGAGTGAGTATCTGGTGAAGAATGCTGCTGTGATCCACCACCTTGAAAAGCTCACCTGAGTCTGCCATGTGGAAAGGGGACAGTGCTGTTTCCGTGCATCACGAGGACACTGGTGTGCGAGGAACTTGGATATGCAAGTAGTGGGAACTGTATGGGAGAGACTTAGATCAAAGCAGCAGTTCTTTGTAGTTATAAAAGGTATGTCTCAATACAGCCTTGTCTTTTATTCAGAAGACTCAAGGCAAGTAAATATGGTGACTGTAGTAAGTATATTTCCCCTGCATGGTTTAAAAAGACATACCTTCATGTGTTGCAGGACTGCAACTATTCATGTGAGTGAAGGTAGGCGTTCACAGGCTTATTTGCCGAATCATCCCACTGAAATAGATAGAGACCGATAGAGACTCATGTTCCATGGAATGGTTGAAAATGTTACCTGGGCCCTTATATGCTGTATTATAACAGCTGAAGAGAAGGTTTCCTATGTTAACTCTCTGCATCTGGGACTTGAGGAGGATTCTTAACCAGCCCAAGCGTATTTTGAAAGGAATTTCAGAAGAAAAAGGTGTTTTGTAAAAGAAGTTTAAAGAGAAACTCTCTTCTTGTACAGTCAAAAGTAGTTTACTGTCTACAGTTTTGCTTATGGGAGGCTTCTGGATGCTATTTTACTATACGATGTGACTTGGACTCCCTTGCTATCTTCGAGGTTGCATATTAGATACCTTTGCCAGAATGCCAGTCACCTCTCCTATACTCTGTTCTTATGGCCGTAAGTCTTATGGTGGCTTGTATTTTCAATTCCAGGTATCAACAGTAGAATCCCATTTATAGGGTCTGCTGGTTTACTGAAACCAGCGAACTTGCTTTAGACATACATTACGAAACGAACTCATGCTGTAGCTCCTTTTGTGCAAACCTATGTGCTGCATAAGGCAAAATATGTGCATTTCTGTGACTTCTGCATACCTTATAAAATCTGCTACTCTTCATGTTTCAGATGCTGTTAGATACTCTTCTGTTTATTTCTGTTTTAAGGGACGATTAATAAAGCTTCAAAAATACAGGTTCTAGGGCATGCGTTGATGGTCCAGCCCTCTGTGCATATTTTATATAAAGGCATCTTTGCTTGTTCTCTAGATGCTATAGAGAAGACACTATCTGTTGAAGGGAGCAAAGTGTGGCACTTTATTGCACTGGGAGTCTGGATTGCTCAATTGTGGCATTGCTTCCTGGAAATCCGTAGTGGAGAATCAAGCACAGTGCAGCAGAAGCCGCATATGAATGTGGTAAGTGAAGAGCTGTGTTTGTGCATAGGGAATAGCTGAGGAACATGGAAAACAGTAGTATCCTTTTGAGCATGACTACCGAGTGAGGATATACCAGTTAACTTCAATTGCTCTGAGAACCCAGCTGACAGATGTCAGTGAGGGTTAAGGTAAAATAGTACAAATTGGAGATGGGAGGTTTCAAGGGGAAAGCAAACAAGGAGACATCAGAGTTGGCCGATCATATTGGTCAGCAAAGAATTAAATCCTTTTTCTTTCCTTTAAGTCCTTTGGCATCCCTGTCCAAGTCTGAAAGTCACATGAAAGATTCCAGCTCATGCCTCTATAGCCTTTGTTTCACTTATCATTTATTGGTCCATATTCTAGGAAACTCATTTTCCTTGTTTTGATGTGACTAGACTATAGCCTTCAGCCTTTCTCATATCTTTAAAAAGGCCTTCACCTTAGTTGATGTCTCAGCAGCTAAGACCCTGCAGTGTCAAATGTTTTTTCTTGTGCTGAATGCCAGTGGCTGTGCTGTAAAGTCATCTTTTTAAGGCCAAGACATCTTAACATTTTGTGTTGTGGTTCACTTTTTACAATGGCTAGCCACCAAGTCGTATTTTTTTCCCCCCCTTCTCCCTAAATCTCTGGCTTGAAGGAGAGGGTGTTTTGCTTGGCTTATGGCTTAACAGCTTCTGTGTTTTTCTGATCAACTGACCTTCTATGTTTATTTTAAGTATGAAGTTTCAGTGTTTTTTATATTCATCCTGTTTCAGACTGGTCATGGGTTTGCTGCAAAGCCTTCTTTAAGAGCAGAAATATTTATTCTTTCTTCACCTTGACCCCCAAGTATGAAATGGATGTTCTGAGTTGGCTTATGGCTTATCAGAAGCTTATAGCTTCATGCTTGTTGATCTCTTCCTTTATAGTAATTGTAAGTATGGTTTTTTTCTACCTTTGTGTCTTCATGCTGAGTCATTCCTGCCCTTCATATTCTGATTATAAAATGTTGACATCATTATGGATGTCTACTGTGTGATTATGTGTTTTTTAATTTTTATTTCTCAACTATAGCTTTCAACTCAGGAAAAGTTAAAGAATTTTGGTAGGATAGTGGTACTCTTGTGCTCTCTTGGCACTGCTATGCAGAAACTCTGACTTCAGTGGAAATACTCTAGATTTATGCTTGTAGTAACAAGAAGAGAAACACAACCAATGTCTTCCTCTAGCTAACTGTTTCAACATGATATTTCAGTGGCCTGGACAATATCATTACTTGTAATAGTATGAACATTTCAAATTTCTTGGAGTACATATGGTTCTGCTATACTTCCTTTTCATACTTGTGAAGCTATTTTTTTTTATCCCATCAAGTCAAAGAACTCTTCAGAGGTTAGTATGCTTCCCTCCACTTCCAGCTTCCACAATAACACGTTTTGTTGGCAATCTTAGCAAGAATATGATTCACTATCATTTAGTTTAATGGGTGACATACATTGGATTTATTATACTCCCCAAATAACATTTGAATGTTTTTGTTCCTTGTCTCCCAGCTGTGTGTAATAATCAGTCTTATACCTGAAAGCTTTGACTAGAACTGAGTTGAACAGAGTGTATGTAGCTTAGCTCAGTTCGTGGTTATTTGTTAGAAAACTTTTTCCTGTTTGCAAAAGTTTATTTCTTTCTCTCTTCTATTCAGCATAGAGGATCAATGTGCAGAAAATGACACGCTGAGACAAGATGCTGCTGAGTCTGGACGAATGTTTAGAGATAAACAGATGAAACTGGATATGGTCAGAAGAATGTCACCTTCTTAAGCCTGGAATGTTTTCTTTGCAACATTTCTAGATC